CCCAGTTTCGAAATCGGATATTATATTATGAAAGCTTTAGACGCAAGATATACTCCGTGAGGTGGTTACATGGACGTAGATGATACATTCAGGACCGCTCTCTTTCCATGTCCCTTGGGATGCTAACCGCCAAACCTCAAATTGACGGCCCAGTGGCCTCTCCATCAGTCCCTAAGTGTGGTCAGTACTCATAACGTTCGGGTAGCGAAGCTTACACTTGTTCAATAGTTCGTCGTGGCTTTCTTCCCTGTACCAAAATGGTTAGTGAGGCGCTAGCTTCGTATAGGCAGCAATCCATAGATTTATGTCTTTCATGAGACTGCTGAATAGGCCGCTGTCCCAAAATTCTTCATAGCTAGCTTGGACTCCATAGCATTTTTCATCAAACGAGATGTCAAAATGTTCAGTCAAATTATTCTGCCTGAATTAGACATTCGATTGAATGAGGTATGCAAAGCTTCTCAAAACAAAATACAGACTTTGATTCAAGCGCCCAAGCTTCATCCTGGCCATGGTCAGATCAACCGGGTTCGGGTCCATAGACAGTGATAATAGCCCTAAAAAGACTTGCTTTCGCTATGGCTCCGGTGGATAATTTCCCTTAACCAAGCCACTGCCTATGAGTCGCCGACTCATTCTTCAACAGGCACACGATATCTGTCTTAACAGATGAAAGAGACCCAGAGTTGTTGTTTTTTCTGGGTCATCGTTATACATCTTATCATACTTACCCAACCTAACTGCATCCTCTTTGAAAATCAACCACCCATACCCACTGTATACCTGGCCTACTGGACGTTTAACCATCTATACCTGTTCCAAAAAGAAAAAGGTGTGTACCCATACCTGCCCTACCTGAACCTCTTCAGACTGTAACTGCCCATACCTGCCCATGGACATTGTTTTTTCAAAACCACCCGTGGCCACCTTAAACCAAACTGTTTGTTGACCACCAGTACCCTACGCAGCCCAGGTTTTCTTTACCCGTACCCACCCACAATTGTATGCACCCATCCATAGCGGGGTGCACTTGTCTCCTGAGTCCTGACGCCTGACGTGGCTGCCAATCACACTTGCAATGCCCTCCTGCTGGGTCACACTTGCGACGCCGGCCATGGAAGCTATGGAAGATGGACAATTACGAGCCGTGAGGAGGACGATGGGTGGGGACGTGAACGACGGGGGGAGACTTTCGGGAGTAGTGGGAACAGGGAAAGGAAAGGGGTGGGAGGCAATGGGCCCCACTCAACTGCTCACGAAATGTTGAAAATGAGAATGAATCTTCCGCTGGAACATGGGAAGATGCACCGTCTTTTTGTTTTCTTCTTTGCATTTCATGAGTAGTGGAGTGAGGCCCACTCAAAAGGCCCAACTCAAAGTCGGGAAACTTTTGGACTCTCAACAACGCAGCAGCCCGGTGGCGGGATAATTTTGTTTTTTGGCTGTTTGGGACTTTTGACGAGGCAGTGGGAGAAAACATTTTGGGCCTAGAACCCGTGGTGGCGGGAGAGGGGGCGGAGCGAGGGGGGTTACGGGGTTGGAATGGGCAGGTACCAGGTATTCCACGGTTACCCGATAGGAACATCTACCCGACCGTACCCATACCTGTTTCTTTTGTTGCAACCCACACCTGCCCATACCCGTTCTATTTGTCTTTTTGGCCGCCCATACCAAGGTGGCCCCCCGTCACTCCCCCCACCCCGGTCCCTACCTGCCCCTACCCGCCCATGATCTCCAAAAGGGCAACTGTGCCCGCCCTGACAACGATCACTATTGTTTTTGCGTGCCCATACCCAACTCCCCCTTAGGAAGGGGCACCCAGCCCCACCCGTAACCTGGCGGGTACAGTTGGGTACGGTCGGGTACGTGCAACAGTTACCTGTTTGCCCTCTTTGTCTCTTAGGCTGGTAGAGCGACCAGTGAGAGCGGAGAACTACTACTGTTTTGTGAAGATTCTTGGTACGGCGAGAAGAGGGCTTTCCCCGTCATCAAGAGACTTCAACATTGTCAATTGTTGTACTCGTGTGATTGATTATTGGTTTGTCTTTTCTGTTATTTCTCTGGTTGCCACATGCGTACTGGCCAGGAGCGTTCATTAGATTTAGTTTCTCCAGTGCTGTTTTCTTGCAGATTGGTATTGGACCGGTTCTGTGTTGATCATTACCGACTAGTGAGATATGCTGTGCGGTGAAGTTGATGGGCTGTGTTTGTGACCGTATTGCTAGTGCCCATCCACTAGGAGGAGAGAGTGGATGAGTCGAAGGGCTACGGAAAGTGCATGGGCAGTGATGAGAGCAACTAATGATTACTATCATTGCTAATGTCGCAGTACTGGTCAGCGTCACTGGGTTTTTGTAACTGGGCATATGATGACATCATCAATCGTTCCAGTCACGGAGTTGTACTGGGTGTGAGTCAGCAAGTGAGATAAGTAGTCATAACCCTATATATGTATATATATGACCTGTCGAATTGTCTTCGCACTGTGAGGATGAGCGTTTTATTCGTGACATTTCAATTGTGAGGTGCAAGCTGCATTCAACCTCAAGAGCCATCGCTGTCGTGGCGATTCTGATTGGAGGGCAGTGTTGCCCCAAATGTATCCTACTCTACTATCAGGTCGCATACAGTCATTATTGGCAGTGTCAGAAGAACGGCAAAAGACAACAGTTACTATGTATGTCTGGTAAAACAAAAGCAAAAAAAAAAAAAAAAACAGACCGGGGCGTATCTCGTATCTCCTACTCACACTACCTTCTTCCCCCGAATACAACGTTCCGTCGTTATAGCTGTATTTGAGGTATCTTTCCGTCTAGATACAGCTATAATGACCGTACGTTGTATTCGAGGGAAGAACGTAGGACGTTTCTGGATGTATCTGACGCCAATGATGCCTCGAATCACGCCCGTAGCTGAGTCTAGAAGGGTCTTAGGGCGTCGCTGCACTACTCCAGAAATGCACAAAAGACAAAAATCTTGGCGATGTATCTTTACTTGTTCTAGGGGAATATTCACTCTCGTTTTGCACATTTCGAGAGTGGCGAGAGTGGTGGAGCGAGGCCCATTGTCAGGAGTATCCGTTGCCCAAAAACGGAGCCACACCCCATGAGGATGTCGCGGACGTTCACTCTTTGTTTTTTTTTTAATAGCAAAAACACCAAGGAAACACAACTGTCAGTTCTGTCGTTTTCTATATCTGGAAGTAATGAGAGGAAAGCAATGGTTCCACAGACGTGTCCTCATCATGACTGTATTGGACCTCTGAAAGGACTCGGATACACTGAAGATAGCATGAAGTTGTGTACAGCAAACATGACAGCACACCGAGTTTTTGGGGCAGCGCGCCCCTGAAACAAATTTGCGYGGGCGATGTCCAAATTTTGGCTGGGCGTGGGAACTTCGATTCACCCTCTCCCCAACTTCTTTTTTTTTTTGGTTGACCCCGAATTTTGCCCATGCGGCGCACCGGGTGCGCGCGCCACGTGCGCAATGCGCAGTGCGCCTCATGTGCGCGGGTGGCGCGCACGGGATGCGCCGAAAGTATGGGATTTAGCCCTCAACGGGGCCTTGCCGACATGCTTATGTTCTGGGCATAGGCCCCCAGCAAGCCTCGTGCCCGCCCTAAGTGAAGGCGGGCCAGAATATCCACGAGAGGCCTTCATTCAGCATTTGCCAAAGTGGGTATCAGACAGTTGCGGCACACCAGTTGGTTGAAGTGCATCGTGAGCCTCCGACTCCTGCAAAGGCACTTGAGCCCAGGGCCCGGGGTTGGTTGAGCCCTGGGCGACAGTCTGGGAGGCCGACACATCACACATTGGTCCCTGGCCTATGGAAAAGCAGTATTTCGTCGTAGAGGCCGGGGAAGCCAATGGGAAACCGGTACAGGGCCTGAATCTGGACAACGGCCCTAGCATAAGGGGCGCAACTGTATTACCTGGGCCCCGTCTGCATTGGGCCTGGGTGCAGGTACTGGGGCCCAGGCGCAGGCTCAAGGTAGACCGCCCACACGCAACACTGGCATATAGGCAGAGCGGGCGAGTGGGCAGGGATCTTGGCCATTGCGAGCAAGGCCGGCACTCTGTTGTAATGCGAGGTGCTGCGCTGCGCTAGGCTGGGAGAAGGCAGGCTGGCGCTAAGCGGTAGAGCGCAGCCTGGGCGCAGGGCGCTGGCAGCCATAACCGGGCTGCATGAGAGCGCTGGAGAGGGTGAGGGCGAAGGTGGTTCTTCGGGAGGTGAAGGGCGCTGTGTGGGATAACAAGGGAGAGTGAGGGAGGAGAGAGAGTGACGTACCTGGTGGAGAGGAGGTCAGCATTGGTGTTGACGTCATCACTCGCTGGTCGTCAAGTCGTCTGGTTGCTTCCATGCTGTAGTTGTAGGATAGGCTGTAGAGTAGATAGGGCGCCTGGCGCCATTCACGAGAGAGAGCTACTTCGGGTTATGTTGTTGGTGTTGCCCGATTGGGCTTGGACATTGACTCATGACTTGTGCTGCATCGTTCTCAAATGGACGGTTTCTTGGTTCCAATGTGTTATCTGCTCTTGCTTTGACTACTTGGACTTGAGTATGATTTGCAATTGGGATTTCTGTGCTTCTTCCACATTCATGTTCCTTGCATATTGTATGATTGTGACTAATTATTATAACGAGGTTGTTAGTGTGAAACAGTTGTGTTCAATATAGTAATCAGGTGTTTGGAAAAAAAAAAAAAAAAAAAGTAATCAGGCTATCTAGTTGTACAGGATACCTAAACGACCAGACGGCATCCGGTGACCCACAAAGAACACCGAAGCACAGCAGCACAATCCGCCTACCAAACCTTTATTCGTATATTTATTTCTTTACTCTTTTATTTTTTTTAACAAGTAGAGAAAAATGATGACATTTGCCTGATGGATTCTTTGAACATTGCTGTTTGTCGTTTGCCGTTTGTTGAAATGTTGATTGGGATTGTGCCGTGCTTTGGTGTTGTTTGTGGGCTGCCGGATGCCGGCTGTATATAGACAAGGAGGGAGGTCCGACGGCCATTCAAGACATGAAGCTGATAAATGGAGGCAAGATTTTAGAAAATAATCTTACTCTTGCAGAGTCCAGGGTTCCCCTAGGAGAAGCTGGTGCTGGCATTGCAATAACAATGCATTTGGTAGTACGGCAGCCGACAAACGATAAATCACAAGGTCAGTTGGTGCATCCACAAGGCAAATGCATGATTGCCATGATTTGCTTCTTTCCTTCGCTGATTACCATGATGGTTGTTGACAGAAAGCTACCATGTTCCCCCAAACACAAGGCACTCTTATAACGAATGTGTACAAGCTATCTTTTTGTCTGATGCGGCCCAAACGAGGGTGTGTTGTGTTCAGGGGAAGACGGTAGTTTCGCAAGGAAGACAGCTCCAACCACATCCGCAGCCAAGTGATGTCCGTAGTTCCGCCTGCAGTTTCTTTTCTGATTACCATGATGGTTGTCGACACAAAGCTACCATGTTCCCCCCGACACAACGCACCCTTATAGCGAATGTGTACAAGCCATCTTTTTGTCCGGTGCTGCCAAAATGACGGTGTGTTGTGTTCGGGGGAAGACGGTAGTTTTGCAAGGAAGACAGCTCCAACCACAGCTCCATCCACATCCCCTACCAAGTGCTGTTACAAATGAACACAGTTCCAACCCACAGTTCCACCTGCAGTTCCAGCCACAGTTCCAACCACAGGTGCAAGCACAGGTCCAAACACAGGCCCAGGTACAAGCACAGGTCCAAACACAGGCCCAGGTACAAGCACAGGTCCAAACACAGGCCCAGGTAGAAGCACAGGTCTGGTTGCAAACCAATAGGACCCTTTTATGTGCGTTTGAGCTTGAAGCTCCTCTTTCCAGCCCCAGTTCCAACCAAGTTCCAGCCACAGTTCCAACCACAGGTGCAAGTACAGGTCCAAACACAGGCCCAGGTACGAGCACCGGCCCAAACACAGGCCCAGGTACAAACACAGGTCTGGTTGCAAACCAGTAGGAACCTTTCATGTGCGTTTGAAGGCTCCTCTTTCCAGCCACAGTTCCAACCATAGTTCCAGCCACAGGTGCAAGCACAGGTCCAAACACAGGCCCAGGTGCAAGCACAGGTCTGGTTGCAAACCAATAGGACCCTTTCGTGTGCATGTGCGTGTGCGTGAGAACTTGAGGCTCCTCTTTCCAGCCACAGTTCCAACCATAGTTCCAGCCACAGTTCCAACCACAGGTGCAAGCACAGGTCCAAACACAGGCCCAGGTGTACAAGCACAGGCCTGGTTGCAAACCAATTGGACACTTTCGTGTGCCTTTGGAATCGAGGCTTCTCGTTTCAGGCACAGTTCCAACCACAGGTGCAAGCACAGGCCCAGGTGCAAGTACAGGTCTGGTTGCAAACCAATAGGACCCTTTCGTGTGCGTTTGAACTTGAGGCTCCTTGTTACAAAGTTGACTCGTGATAAGATGCTTCGCAATCAGATTGGTTGTAATGTACAGAGGTTCTGAAACATTTTGTGCGTATTAATCCAGCATTACGTTTCTTAGCCATTTTCTACTGCACGGCTGCATGTGCGCCATGTCTGGCAGGATGAACCGGCCGCCTGCTGATTCAACAAAAATGCATCCAGGCAAAGGGGGTGCTATGGACGGCCGGCTTTGCCTGGATGTACATTCGACAGGCCGGTACATCCTGGCAGACACGGCGTGCCTGCAGCCGCAATGCAGAAAAATGGCTGGGAAACGTACTGGTGGTTTAAAATATGAGCTGATTTTTTGCCATTGGACTTCAACAGACCTTTACAGTCAGGTACCAGCCTGCCAGACACAGTGCGCCTGCAGCCGCATCGTAGAAAAATGGCTGTGAAACATACTAGTGGTAAAAAATATGAGTTGATTTTTTGCATCTGACTTCAACAGACCTAAACAGTCAGGTGGGGCAAGAAGGGCCACGGTCTCTGGGGAGTGCTACGGGGTAACCTGTCTTATTCATGATGGTTCTTCTTATAAGGCAAACCGAGCCCCTACTGGGGCTATCCGTGGCCAGATGTATGGGCACATACAAGACATAATAGCAGCAGTTGTGCCCAGGACGAAGTCTGGTGTAGTGTGGCATTAAAACCGCCAGTACACGGCGGCAGCCTTGTCGAATTTCGTTCATTACCTACTTTGAAAATTTTGCGCCTCGGACATACCGGACCAAAATGCCTGGCGGTGCCAGCAGCTGGTGGTTTGACAAAGCTTGGGGCGCAGTGCAGCGCGTCCAGGTCCGGGTGTAACGGTGGCTTAAGCCCCACACGTTTGTCGCCTTTGGTTACACCAACCTTAGGGCTGGTCACAACTGGTGCTATTATTATGTCTTGCTTCTGCCCGCACGTCTGACCATGAATAGCCCCATTAGGGCCTTACGTTCTGGCAGCAACATTAGATGCATCGGATTTTTTTTTCCAATGTACCTGCTGTTAGATTGTGTACCTGGTTTGTGGAATCTCCAGGTCCAAATAACGTGGGTCATAGGCATGCTAGAACCAGCAGATTATAGTATTATTAGATGTGGCTTTCCTGAATAAAGGGTATACTATGTTATGTTTGCATGTGGCCATAATGAGGGCCAGGTACGACCAGGTCAACCCAATGCGAGTGAGGCGGTAGAGTCGGTGGAAATGAAACAAAATGTGGTATGCTGTCTCTCCCATCATGACTCATGTACTTTTTAGTCTTAAATGCAAAGTTGAAAAGAGCACGTCGGATGACACATGAATGGAGAAATGGTCCCCAAAAAAAAACAAAAAGAAAACATCGTGGACTCTAGCACCTGTTCATCAGCTCAGTGGTGCGCACGTGTAAGAGCCTTGCCCTGCTAGATTCAATTGTATTAGGGGTTAACTTTTGAGGAATTTGCCGAACTTCAGGTTAACTTTGAGGAATTTGCCGAACTTCAACTTCTTCCCCATGTGCGTCACGCGAACAAAACTGCAGACAAAATTGTGGAAACTGCAATTGGCAGAAAGTCACTAGCACCATACTTGCGGCGCATCACGTGTGCACCGGTCGTGCACGTGCCACACGGCACATTTTGCCACACCGTCAAAAATAGGGGTTCCGCACTAGCACCATACTTTCCCAACACACAGCATGCGCTGCACTAGCACCATACTTCCCTACGCACAGCATGCGCCGCACCGTCAAAAATAGGGTTTCTTCCCCCCCCAAAAAAAAGGGGCGGTAGAGGGTGGGATCCCTTGCCCCAACAGCAAAGAAAATGGAAACGGCTTCAGGCAATTTTTTTTGCCGCCGTGCCTAGGGCCTATAGAGAAACTCGCTTTCAGCATGCATGCAAACAGATGACGAATATGAAGTGGCGCAGTGCGCCCACACAAAGCTCAGAGATAAGATCGTGGCCAGTCTTGTACGGCTATGGCGCTTAGCGCCAGACAAAGATTCCCATCCGATCAACTGTATCCACCAGTAACTCGTTTGCACACACACACACTCTCTCTTACTAACTAAGATCACCCTGAATGTCCCACACGTATACACACACACTGTCACACACACACGACACACAAAGCCTATCACTAACCAACGTGGCAGCTATGGCTGCCGTCTCTCTCCTTCTAACTCGCGGCTACGGCTGCTTCGCCTTCCTCTTAGCCCTCTTCTTCCCCGGGCACCTGCAGACCTCCGATGCACAAGACATTCCGACAGCGCTTCCCCACGGCTCACAGGCAGAATGAATGAATGAACACTCTGTTGACGTCAGCAGCTTGGCGGCTATCGCCGCCGTCGTCTTCCTCCTCAAGGTGCCTATGGTCGTCGTTGTCCTCCCCTGCTCTTGTCAGCTTCGGGCACCTGCAGGCCTCCACACACTGGCAGCGCTTCCGCATGGCTCGCAGACGAATGAATGAATGGCTGAGTGGTATACTGTTTCGCAGGTGGCCTGGCCGGCCCCAGCCCGGGCCCAAACCGCGAGGAGCCCCAAACTGCGTGGGCCCTCACCTTGTACTTTCTGACTCAGACGCGGTGGTTGGGCCTACTTGCTGACTCAGACACGGTAGACTGGGCCTACGACTCTCTAGAACCTACAGACTGACCCGCTACTAACAGCTAGGACTAACTACGAAATGACCCGTACAGTACCGAAGAGCCAGGTAGAGACCTCCTGAAGAACCTAAGCTAGAGTTAACGGCAAGACACTAGACTGTAAATACGAGGTCTACGGGTCAAGATCTAGCGGCGAACTAACACACTTGTTTACTAACCTAGGGTCTAGGGACAGGGCGTGGGTTCAAATCTCACATAGAGCTACAGGTCAATGTACAGGGTTACGGGGTAGGTCTAGGGATCGAGTCCTGGTGTCTGCAACTGTCGGGTAAACTGGGTGAAACCGTTTGACTCCTGCCGTGCTGAATTTGAGGTCCTCTGAGAACTCTCTAACTCAAGACAGGACTTTTACCTTTCCTTGCCCTCTCGTAGGCATGTACTATGCAGGGAGCGGTTTCCAGAAGCTCGGCTTGTGTGAACCATCTGTCGTCCTCGGGTTCTTGATAGGCAAACCTGACTTTATACTGCTTCTGGGTACGACCCCGACCTCCGGTTCTAAAGACGTCTTCTTTGTCGTATGCGCCATCCATGTCTGGCGGAATCACAGACCTCCGCGAAGGAAACTGCTCGCTGGTGGTGCACGGCAACACCTTTGATGCATGGAAGACTGGGTACGTATGGAGGTGCCGTGGTATTTCTATCGTATATGACTGTCCTTCCTCTCCTCCTTTGACTTCTAGGACTGGCCACGGTCCTCTATATGCCGGTAAGAGCTTCTGAGAGATGTTCTCCTCAGGTGCGAATTCCTTAGACTTGACCCAGATTAGGTTGCCTACCTGAAACTGTGAAGGCCGGCGATGCTTTATTTGCTTGCTCAATCATGCCAAGCTGGGCTTTGCTAAGGTTCTCAACAGCTTCAGCAACCTCCTTCTCGTGCTGCAGGGTGAACTCCCTTGTGCCAGGAGGTAACCTCTGAATCTGATCCCGGTTCAGTCCTTCAAATGGTCTACATGGCTTAAAGGACTTGTGCAACTAGTTAGGAGTTCGACGGGTAGCGAGATGCACACTGTTGTTATACGCGCTAGCTACCTTGGGAAGCATGGGCTGCATAATATTTTTCTTCTTCTTCATCTTCTTTCTTCTTCTTCTTATTCTCCTTCCTTCTTCTCTGCATCGTCTATTCTTTTTCTTCCTTTTTTTGTTGTTTCTGTACCATCTGTTCTAATGGATGTCCCCGGGGATGGTCCTGTGAACTTGCTTTGTTGATGTGATAATGTTACAAATGTGTGCAGCCGTCCTTCGGGACATCCGTTAAAATTGGAACGATACAGAGAAGATTAGCATGGCCCCTGCGCAAGGATGACACGCATAAATGAAGAAATGGTCCAAATTAAAAAAAAAAAAAAAAAAAAAAGTGTGCAGCCTTTGCGCAGAGAGTGGCGTTTGCAGATTGTTGATGCGGTTTTGCCGGAGGGGGACCATCCAGAGCCATGTTGGTTCCCGGACAGCTGGGTACACGACCCTTCCTGGCTGGGAACCTAATAAACCCTCTTTACCGTTAAGTCCCTTGGCCGGAACTTGGACCAAAACCCTGGGTGGTGGCTCGCGCCTCCAGGGGCGTTAAACAAAGTACACCGCCCAGGCAAACTTTTGACGTCGAAAATGAGTCATTCTGAAAAGTTAGGGAACTCGCTCCAGGGCGGGGCCTGGGGGCGGGCATACTTTTTTTTTTTGTCCGGTGCGGGCGCCAGTGCCGACCCTAAGGCGTGGGACGAAAAAAAAATTGTGTCCGCCCCCAGGCCCGCCCTTTGGGGCCTCCGTTAACCTGCTGCTCTCGCCCTGGGCCGAGTGCCCTAACTTTTCGAAATGACTCATTTTCGACATCAGAAGTTTGCCTGGGCGTGTACTTGTGGTTTAAGGCCCTTTGGGGACAGAACTCGGACTAACTCGGACTAACACCCTTGATGGTGGCTCGCGCCTCTACGATCTTTCTGTGCTTCTTCCGCACGCACGCCCGTGTTGGAAAAGCAATGTAACCTCTTTCCCCCCCCCGTTCAAGGCTCTTGGGCGGAAATGGGACCAACACCGTGGATGGTGGCTTTTTTGCCTCGGGGCCCTTTCTGTGCCTCTTCTACATGCTTGCTGCTGATAAGCAACTGGACTGTCGCCGCCAAGAACAAATGGGGCAGAGTTGTGTGTGTTGGTAAAAAAAAAAAATAGAAGAAATTGCTTTGTTCAAGTCTGTTCAACTTTGTTGTTAAAAAAGGTAATTGATAAAAAAGGTAATTGATAAAAAAGGTAAGTACTAAGTTTCTTATCTTTCTTGTTCTTTGTTGAGAAAAGTTTCTTATCTTTCTTGTTCTTTGTTGAGAAAAAAAGGTTAAGTCCTTAGTTTCTTATCTTTCTTGTTCTTCAAGCAAATTTGACAGGTTTCGAAATGGACCGGAGAGGAATGGTAGATGAAAGGCAAGCTGACAGTCGATCCTCCGGTATCGGAGAAATCAATCTGGTCGGGGGGATCCTTCGGCCAGACGGAAGGAAGAGTGAGGGTGTACATGACGTAATAGTTCATTCTGACTTGGCGGTGGAATAGGAACCGAACTGACGCTCCACAGAATGGATATGGAACCAGGACAATAAGGACCTGCTAAAAAAAAAAAAAAAAAAAAAGGTAGTCCGCTATCTCGGTCTGATGGGCAGTCAATCCCCTCGTCTGAGGGCAATCAATGGAGTCCATCGTCTACAGCTTACATTTCGCTCCGTCTTTGTAATTGGGACGATGGACCCGGTTTTCAGCTGGTGCAGCTCCCCACCAATAAGATTGGAGGGGGGGGCGGGGGGGGGGGGGGTGGTTTGGAAGAAAAAAAAAGAAAGAAGAGGAGGATGTGGCATTTGCAGCTGACAGCCAAGTGCGTGTGTGGTGGCATGTGCAATTACAGAAAAGCCGTACGCGAAGGTGCCGAAAGACGACAAATGTGGGCGGTGTGTCATTCTCTGAGAATGAAAGAATGTGTGCGCGTTGAGTCATTGGCATGATACTCAACATTCCACACGTATCTGGACTGCTTAAGAGACCAGATACCCTCCCACTGATCGAACATTTCGAATGTATTGCGACCATTCCAAGCTGCAGATACATTTAGAACGTTGTGCAGTGGAGCGAGCCCCATATTGTTGCAGTAGCTGGTGAGGTGTCAGAGTCTGGAGGACTGGCCAGTGTTTGGGCCTCTCAGAGATCGAAGTGACATGTGTTTCCGGCCTGCTACGAACATGATCGGTGGCTGTTTGTCTATTCGATGATGGTTACCTATTCCGAGGCAGCGGCGACATACCGATACGTGGGAGGCATGTGCCCATCATCCGATGATTTGTTTGTTGGCCATGAAGCCTCATCCCTTCTTTGCAGACACTGAGTCCAGACACGGAGCTGATTGATCTTGTTGATGTGTGTGTGTGTGTGTGTGTGTGTGTGTGAGAGAGAGAGAGAGAGAGAG